CAGCTCTGAGTTTGAAGTTGATGATATTTATGCTACTTATACTAAATAAATGCATTTTTTGTTGTAAAACGGGTGAAGAAGAAGAAGAGACGTAGCTTCTCTGTTCACAGAGCCGCGGCTGCTCGACTCGTCTTCAGGGTTCAGTTGAGGATCTGGTTCAGGTTAGAGTGAAGGTCTGGGCGTTACCTGGGGGTCACTGCGAAGAGACGCCACCCCTCCCCCGCCCAGCGAGCTCTGCAGGACGAAGTTGAGGCTGTGGATCCCCGGCAGAGTGTATCTGCAGAAACACAACGTAAAATAAAATGTAAAAAAACCCACACCCGTTACCGCGGCAACGCACCTCCACGCCTTCCAGAGAAAAAACCCACAAAGTGGACCAAATGTGTTTAACACACCCTGGTAGAGGTCTGGCAGCACAGCCTGGCAACATGTGTCGGCATGCAGGTTTATTGCACGCGTAAATGTGTGTGTTGGTGGTGTTGTGGGTTTTTGATGTGTGTGTGTGTGTGTGTGTCACAGTTAAACACGCCTGATCAGCATGTGTGCACGTTTGCAAATGTGGTCATATGCTAACCCGGCGAGCATGTGTGTGCGTTTAGGCAGTTAAAGCAGTTAAAGGCGTGCGTGTCGGCCTCCCGCCGGGTTAACAAGCGGTGGAGGTGCACTAATGAAGCGTCTGTGGCGGCGGCGAGGCGTTTCGGGGTGCGAGAGGAGACGCAGGTCAGCGAGCTTTACGACCTCCACCGCTTCATTACGCTAATCGCTAACACGCCGCGCGCTGAGTCAGCGCTCAAACATGTCCGCCGGTTGTTGACATTCGCGGCTACTCGTCCAGAACGCTGTGCGCCTTTAGCACCTGAGTTTTGCTTCATCTTTGTCAACCTGAGTAACGTACTTGATCTGTTTTTGTGACGCGGTGATGACAAACTGCCTATAAAATGTAATTACCCCCCGAAAGGTTTGATCCTTTCACTGCCTTTCAACATTAAATCATGGTCAATGAAGTTGGTCCTCATCGGCAGCTTTAGCATCTTCCGCCTCATATGGTTTAAATCTGTATAATATACAGAGAGCGCCCCCTGGTGTTCAACGCAAGGAAACGAGGTGTTAATGTGTTTTCTGCTCAGCAGCGGCCACTCTGGCCACAAGTGGTAATTACACTAATTTAACAACATTGTTTACTTGTGGTTCTGATTTTGTGATGCACAGTCCTGACAGTGAAGCACGGAGGTGGCAGCATGATGGTACCGTGCACCGCATCACGGTCCGTTTAATACCATCCCATGCAGCTTTAGCATCGTATCGAAATTTAGAAATCGATTTACAGAATGAAACTTGAAAGTAACTGTTTCATCTAACAAGCAAAAATAAATTATTAGTGAAATTACAATAAATTTGTGAATGTAATTGTACTGTCTTGAAAAAAATAATAATAATTAAGATTATTCAAAAGATACTGTAGTGGGGTTTTTTCTATTTGAAATGTAAAATCACTTTCTGCTTCTGTGGTTTTACTGATAATCTGTTTTGTTGACGGTGAACTGTGGGTCTGTGCTTTTAACACTGAATCTGAACTTTTGCCTCTCATTTTTTACAAAAGAGGAAACAAAGCACTGCTGCAATAACGAAGTGATGCAATTATTGAGAGGTGATGCAATCTCGACTCACTTGATGTCTAAGCAGAACGGCACAGGAGTGTATTGTGTTGTTGTCCTTGTACATAAAGTCAAACAAAGCAGACTTTCTAACAGCGTCAGCATGCTGTCAAGGATTTCTGTCCATATTTTGCAAAACAGAAAACAACAACAGGTCGTATTTGCTTCTATCTTGGGAGAGCAAAATGTGAAGAACAAAGCCTCAAAATATCTGCTGTTTTGCAGAAAGCTGGTCTCTGTGTGGAGTAAATACAAACACAACCTGGGCATCCAGCGCCCCGGGCCGCCCCACTGCTTTCTATTATGTCTTCATGCAGGCCGATTACCTCTGAGGCCGGGATGACAGTCAGTCATGCTCGTGGCGTTGCGTCTCGGTTTCAGTGGAAGTTGCTGGTTTTGCTCAGACTGTTGTGGTTTTCTTCATGAGTCCATGTGGAAGCCACAGCCATCCTCCAGTGTCTTCAGCGCTCTGTTACATCTTTGTCCGTCTGGTAATTATGGGATTTAAAAACGGAGCCAGCTGCTTGGTTTTGGTGTTGTCAGTAGGATTTGAGAGTTCCTCTGATGATCCGGAGGACTGAGTGTAAGAAGCGCTGCAACATGTTGTATGTTAAAGGCAAACTGCCCGTCAGGATGTGTCACCAACAGTCTCACTACGGACTGATCCAGTTCTTCTCTTAAACACATTTTTGGTTGTTTTTGTCTTCACTTTTAAAGACTTGAGACTTGACTTGGACTTAAGCTTTAATTTGGCTCCAAAGGCTCGAGTCTACACTTAGACTGCCTTCAAAGACCTGGCGCTTGTCTTTGACCAATCAGGATCCAGTAAAACTGTTGTTCAAACATGTTTTGTCCATAAATTAATGACAACAGTTAATCAGAATCAGATGTCGCAGACTTGAAACGTCCATTAGATTTGTCCTCAAAGACTTGTGAACTTTCTCTCTTAAGAGTCGAGACAACATGTTGGACTTGGACTTATTGTCTACAGATCTGAGACTTGATTAGTCTCGACTAGTCTTGAAATATTCCGACTTCACGAACTAGAAGTTGCATTTTAAAGACTTCAAAAACAGGAAAAGTAGGACTTCCACTCGATAGGATGTGATTTATCGAAATATTGAAAACTTGTTTGGACCTTCCATCTAAAGACTTGAGACGTGACTTGGTCTAGTCTTGCTAAAAGACCTGAGCGTATAATTGGAGTTTCTCAAAGGCGTAAGACTTGACTAAAGCCTAAAACCTTCAAAGACTCAAAGACTTGACTTGGACTTGTTACACAGTTCAGCACTGACTTGGGTTTTACCTCGAAAGACTTGGGTATCGACTTGGACGGGCCTTCAAAGACTCAGAGATGTCGGACTTGGACTCAACAGATTTAAGTCTTTATGGACTTGTTCTTTAAGACCTGAGACACGATTTGGTCTTCAGCTCCAAAGAAATGAACCTGGACTTGGACTTGTCCTCAGAAAGATGTGAGACGACTAAGACTTGCCTTCAAAGACTCGGAGACTCCAGACTTGACCAGGTCTAGTCTTAGAATGTCGCAGTCTGTCTACCTTCCTCAGGTTTCTGCTCCTACATAACAAACCTGTACTTCGTGTTCATGTTCAGCAGATTGAAACTAGATGAATTCCAGTGACTGTGGGTTAAAACAGTAAATCAGGAGTAAAAAGCAGAACGCACAAAGAAAGCCGTCACGTATCAGTGACAAAGGTATAAAAATAGACTTAAAGACGTGCAAGAACCCATAAAGCTCCGTCGAGTGAAGCCTGCGGCCTTGTAAACTTCACAGCGCGCAGCGAGGATTCCTGATCAGCAGATAAACACTTTCAGGAGGTCGCTGTGGTTTTCCTGCGGTTCGAACATCGTGTTTCCTCCTCTGACTAATATCTGCTCGACCGCCGCTCGGTTTTACCGCCGAGCGTCTGACAGCGATTACGCCGACCGCAGATGGCTGTCGCTGGCCGTGTTGAAATGTCTGACGTGTGGGCGGAGGAGGCCAAGAGGTCGCCAGCCGACACAAACCTCCTCCACGGCCTTCTGCTTCTTGTCTGGTTTCACTTTCCGAGCTCCGCCTGAACCTTCACAGGTCAAGTTCTTCTGCCGAGTCGCTTCAGGAAGTATTCAGAACCCTTTTCTTTCCTGCACACTATTTTAACTCAAACGCCCGTAAGGACAAAGTGAACACTAATTTTTAGAAAAAAGTATTGGAAGCCCTTGGTTATTTGCACTACTTTTACTTTTAAGCTGATGTTGGTCTGTATTTGGAATATACAAACAAGCTGTCTTGGTTTTTGCAGAACATCCTCGTCTAGCGAGACCTTCTGACAGTTGCTTGACTTTTTAAATTGGCCTTTACATCCCTTCTTCTCAGTGGAATTCCTCTCCAAGTGTTTCTCGCAGCGGCGTTTAGCAGATATTAAATGACGCTTAATGAACCTTTCCGGCGACGTTAGCGTCTCGTGTGTGCTATAAAGTGTCGGCGAGAAAAACAGTTTTGAGTTTACATGGAGTTATTTTTCTAATTTGAATTCGTCGGCTTACGTTAAGGTCGTATCTCCTCCTTCTCGGTCGAATAACTCACGAAGGCTCTGTCCTGTCACATGTAGCACACATGTAAATAAACAGCAGAACGTATTCCTTCTGATGATACCAGTGGTTCCTTTGTGTGCTAAAGCGTTGTCGAGTAAACTGCACTTGAAGTTCGACCAAATTTCTGCTCAGTAGCCAAAATAAAATGAACATTTATGCTGCTGTAATTCAAAAGTGGTGGTTAGAGACAATTTCTCTACACGACTATGAAAAGATATCCACACTGACAGCATTGTACAGTGTTTGTCCGTGACATAAAGGCTCATATAAATACTCTGCTGGTATTATCATATCAAATGATGCAAGACGGTGAGACTGCAGAGGCTCACCTTGTGACGGGGTTCTTCACTCCCGGCTCAAAGATGTGGCAGAAGTATTCCTGCACCGCAGAAGAAGTCAGGTGTTTCTTCAGGTAGGGGAAGAAGAGGGGATGTCGAGCGATCACTCCTAAACAGAGACAGAGACAACGGGAGTCTGTGACGTGATTGGTGTTCAGCGTTCAAGAAAAAAAACACCTTTTGTTTGTAGTAATAGCTTGTAAAATGTTGTAGCACTGGACGCTAGCAACATTAGCAAGCCCATGTTGTCACCTTTTTTTTCATAATGCTCAGGGTTCCCAAGGAGATGCATAACAGGACTGATCCATCAACAGCCAGTAGCCACTTAGCTTAGCATAAATATTATGTAAAGTCATCAAAATTTGCCTATTTCCCGACCGCTTTTAAAAAAACAAGACATAACAGACTCTGTCGCTGATTTTAATGACTTTGAATCAAGCTAAGGTTTTTAGTCTTTATGCTAAGCTAAGCTAACAGTCCGCAGGTTGTGGTTCCATATTTCACTGAGAGTGGTATCAATCTGATGATCTAACTCGTGTATTATCCAAAACGTTGAATCGTAACAACAGAGCTAATCCTTGCTAAAGAGAATCCTGCTCTCTGATTGGCTGGCAGGCGTTTTTTTTTTTCTCAGATAATCAAACTGTGTTCTTCCTGGTGTAGATGAAAGGGAAGGCAGGCTTCAGTTTGTTTGAATGGATGTTGTGTTTTCGGAGGTTCACTTCACCGATGTTAGCCGAGTCGCCTTTGTCGCCGCTCCTCGTGTAGGCCAGTTCCTCCAGTCTGTAGCTGTGTGGGCCGCTGGGCAAGTCTGGAAGAGACCGCAAAACCAAAAATCTGATTTGTTTGGCTCAGCTAGCTGATAAAACACACAAGCATGCACGCAATCAGTCTTTTCAGATTCCTAACTCTACTGCCAGTGGCCTAATTTGCTCTCATGCGACCCTCAAAGAAGAATTTAAGCCCCTCAAAAGCCTCTGGAACCTCATGACAGACTTTGGGCCTGCAAAGACCATTTTCAACCTGTGGACGACTCCAGGTAACCCATTATGAAGCCAGTCAGGGAAGTCTGGAACCTCCTCAAAGATCATATAAGCCCCATCAAGAACCTCCTCAAAGACAATGTACCATTTCTAGAGGACTCCTGGAAGCCACCAAGAACATTCTTACTGGTCATTTAAAGCCCCTAAAGGACTTCTGGAAGATCTTAAGGACTGCCTAAACCCCGTCAAAGAACTATCTGAGCACTCTTAAGCCTCTTCACCCACCTCAAGGGTATCTGGAACCTCCAAAACCCAACCGAGCCCCCTTTAGAAAACCTTGGAATCTCTTCAAGGACCATCTGAGCTGTCAGTGAGACCTAAGACACCACAAGTCCTTAATCAGCACTTTGTCAAGGAGTTCTGGAACCTTCGCAGGAAACCATCTGAAGCCTGTCAAAGACACCATCAACCACCTGAGGACTCCAGAACTTCCTCAAGAACCAGGTAAGCCTCCACATAAACCTCATCATGGACCATGTAAGCCCCAGCATTGAGCCCTTCAAGCACAATTCAGGCACTTTCAAGCACCGGTCAGGAATATTTTCACTCCTGAAGCCAGGTAAACCTTCAGGTAGAGCTCACAGAGGACTCAAGCAATGAACCCTGGAACACCTTAAGCACGATTCAAGCACCCATCAAGAACCTTCAAGCCCTCGGGGACCATTCAGTTTGTGACACTGTTTACAGATGTTTCCTTGCAGCTTCTGCCATCAGAAATGAAAAATACTGGAATAAATCACAGCTCCAGTCAGTCAATAACAGATTTATAAACAAAACCAGGTGAGCACATATTAGAAACAGCAGCTCTGTCCTTTCTCGTTTCATTTGAGTGTTTTGTGCTCTCTTGTTTTGGCCTTTGTGATTGGAGAGGGCTTCTTGCGTTCAGCCAGGAATGCGAAGGTAGGGGAAGCAGCCAGGACTCGGTATGCCAGTGAGTTCTCCTCTGATTCTGTAAATACATTTGGTTTCTGAGCACTGGGCTGAGAGACTCTTAACGGTGCTGCCATGTGAGGAAAGGGCTGGTTTAAAGGGTGAGAGGATGAAAATTGGCACAGCTTGTTCTTCTCAAGAATTCCAGATATACAAAAGACACACAAACACACACACTGTGGTTATCCTGTGTAGCCGTGGAGTCCAAACCGTTTCTCACAACCTCTGACTGATCTGACTCTGTTCAGTCTGTTAATGAACTTTAAAGACATTTCTACTCTAATCTGACTGTATGTTTTGATGCCACAGTTGTGGGTGGTTGTGTGGAGGTAAACAGGACATGGGAGGGTGTCTGGTTCTGACTGGCTGGAATTCAACTGGACTGGTCAGTCTCTGTTGGTAGTTAAAGGACCATTTCAGAATGCCTAAAGAACGACTTAAGGCCCTTAAAACCCTCGGCGACATCCTCAGTCTGTTCAAGAGGTCCTGTATGATGACTGCATATGGAACCCCTTAGGCCTGGAGTCTCCCTGGAATCCCCAAAAAAACCCCTTTTGAGTTCATCAGGAACCATCTGAGTCCTTTAAAACCTGACAGAACTTTCTGAAAGGATCTACAAACCTCTTTAACAACACCCAAAATGCTTTCAAGCACAATTTGCGCATCTTGAGGAGTTCTGTAACCCATGAAAGCCCGTATGAATATTGTCAGTGAGGCCAGGACCCAGGAAAAGTCAACCGAGCCCCCTTGGGAACTCTGGAACATCCTTGAGAACAACTCCAGAACCCTTGATAACCCCTGAAACTGTCCTAGAACCCCTGGAGCATCCTTAAAGACCACTGAGTCCCCTTTAGAACCCACAGAACCTCCTCAATCACCATCTAGGCTCCCTTGAAGACCAAGACTGTTGTGTAATGTAAGCTTCCAAAAGATCCCTACAGGCCTTCAAAAACCTCTGGAACCTTCTCAAGGACCCATGTAACTTCATCAGGTCCCATTTAAACACCTTAGACGACCTAAGGCTTTCTCACAAACCCCTTGGACCCTCCTGGAGCTTCCTCATGGACCATCTGAACCACCTTGAGGACCCGTAAAACATCTGCAAGAACAACTTAAACATTTTCAGGAACGAAGAACCTATAAATGAGCGTTGCAACTGTTTGAAGAACCTGAAAAACACCCCCCAGGAACTGTTTGCACACCCTTAAGGAACTCCTTGAGGACCATTTTAGTCTTGTCAAGGACCCATTCAAGTTTCTCAAGGACATGTGGTGTTTCTTCAAGGACCTATGAAACCCATTGTGGAACCTTTCGATGTACCTCCATGACCTCTTCAGAGACTTCACAATAACCTCCTGAACATTCTCACCGACCGAACAGTGGCTGTAAACACTCGGCTGTCGTGGCTAAACCACCAGGTGCTTGGTTACCTGTGTCAGGTGCGTCCTCTGCTGAGGTGGGCGGGGCTTCGTCCTTATCGGGTGTGTCTGGTCCCGCCTCTGAGAGCGACTCCACCAGTTCTCCACCGACATGGACGTCCACCTGCCGTCACATGAACACCGACCAGAGTTAGACTGAATTTAAAGGTATTCAGATGTACGTTATGTAAGAATATTTATATAAACGTACTTCAGTCGCTTTTGAACATTTTGATATTTTAAATACATTCTTCTACAGTTATAAAAAACATTTTTATAGAAACAGATTTAGCTTCATAGAGTTATTTTAGACAAACAGATTATTGTAAACATAGTTTTAGATCTTCATCTTTATTCAAGCTACATATGGTCATTTAATATAAAGACATATGAAGACATTTTTCTGAGCTCTGTATCCATTCATACACTTTATATGAAGATAGAGCAAAACTGTAGATTGTATATGAATATATGTTAAACGTTTACTTTCACTACAAAAAGGAAATTTATATAAAATATCCTGCATAATTCCTCTTCACATGCCGTCCCTTACTGTAGCTCTATGAATGAAAGTATTTTAGGATATTTGTCTTTGTACACATTGGTCTTAAACAACAGAATAAAATAAAAAAATTCCACAATGGAAACGGAGACAAACACTGATTCCTGACATGTAGTTCTTTTTAAACTTTCTGACTCATCAGGTTTCTTCTTAAATTACTTCATCTCAGAAAAAGCGCTGACATGAAGTTCCTTCAGGTCCTGACTCACCGTCAGCTCAGATTTGGGATGTAAGAAGAAAAAGGGCTTCAGGACGGGAGACCTGGAAACAGGAGGAACAGGAGAATTCAGTGTTCTTCGATTAGGGTGAAGTTGACCGTGTGGTGAACGAGGTGCCTGAATGAACCCCAGACATGCGTCGCTGTGTGGACTCACACTCTGGGACGTCCGCCCACGATGCCGACGAGTCCAGGAGCTGAGGACAAAGACTCAGAGTGAGTTTTTGCAGCTTTGGCCTGAGATCAGCTTCATGTCCTAGTTACAGTTCAGTTAAACCTCCCGGCGGAGTTCAGACCGAGTGTCACCGTAAACAAAACGCGGTTCAGGAGGCCAGAAGCCTCCTTATCTGCAGCAGAAGGGAGGAAGGCTTATCAACGAGGCGCTCGCAGCTCAGAGTTCAGCTTAGCGAGCATTTTTTCCGCCGACATCCACTTAATTACATAATAAATACTTGAGATGACGCTGATAAACCGACATGCTCTAGACTTCAGGGAGAGAGGAGTCTGGGAAGGACTCAGTTCAAACCTCCAGAGGATGAAGAGCAGCGGCTTAGATTCATGTGGAACCCCTGGAACATGCTCAAGGACCCTGGCAACACCTTTTCAACAACCTTCAAGCACTTCACCAACCTGACGTTACACTCTGTCTCGTTAAACTTCAGATGAGGTCTGATGCTCCTTTAACGACAAGCACCAACGTTTTGAGATCACAGTAAACAGAAACAGGAAGAACGGCTAAAGCTAGCTGGAAAAGTCCAAGTTGACTTCACTGATGTGGATGAACTTAAATAAGGTTACGTATCGAAGCGGTTCATTTGGGTCGATGATGAAATGTGTTACGACACCACACTGGCCAGAATAACTGCACACAGTGGTGTCCTTATGGATTACATAAGTCCTGCCCAGCTGATCTGCTCATGTTAGGGTTAGGGATTCTGTCTTCTACTGCTAGTAGTCATGAACTTATACAACCATCCCGCTCTAACCGCACCGGGGCGGCTATCAGCTCATCACAAGGGTGCTTTGATACCAAACGGGGGTTCAGGAGGGCTCATCGTACCCATGCCGGTTCCTGCCGGAGCCACTTCCCTGGAGAAGACTTCCAGAGCTTTCTTCTGCTTGTGGTGGACGGCCATCCAGAGCACCACCTCCCTGGAGCCCTGCGGACACACAAAAAAACAAAAACCCAGACATCGACTGAGAACTGTCGAGCAAGAGAGCAAACGAAGAGGCGCGAAGGCAGAAAAAAGAGGCTTGAAACAGGCTTAACCGCCACCCTGGCTGAGGTTAGGGGCTGAACAGAGCGAGCCATGTTGGGGGAGTTCAGAGGCGTGAAACGGGATTAACTCCGATCCTGCCGCTCTGAAACTGGGAAGGAGGTTAAAACAGTGAAGAGGAAAAAAAAAGCAGCAACGGAAGCTGGACGAAGAACAGTCAGACCATTCTGCACTGGACCTCGTTGTCTTTTATAAAACCAATCACAACCGTCCTGGGCCGAGCTAAGCGCTGGACGATGTCGAGCGTTTCTTCAACTAGAGATCAGGAATCGTCTCAGTGGAACATTTTTGGAGCCTCACTAGGAAGTTGCTGCTCTTGTTGGTTACAGATGATCTGATGAATGTTGGGAAAGCCACGCGGTCTCAGTCTGAGTGCACCACAATCTCAGCAAAGCCACTGACCGGATGTAAGGCCGCTTCAACGGGCCTGCAGCAGATGGGACAACGGAGGCTTGTTAGTCAGCCGGCGTGGGGAATTTTACGTTGCTACTGGGGAAGTTAGACTGAAAGCTGTGTACGCGAAATGCTTCGTGTTGACGCGGCAACATCAGCTGTTAGTCATGAGAACGCTGCTGACGGTCCAGAAGCCACCGAGTCCGACCGCTTAGAAAGACGACAATCAGGTGATGTAACGTAGGAAATGTAAAGCAGGAAGGACAACACGAGGCTGTCTGGACCTCGGACAGCGTATAAATTCACTAAGAGGAACCAGACTGGAAGGAACCAACTGACCCAGATCAGAACCAACGAGCTGACCAACACTGGAATAAATCGACTGACCCAGACCAGAATGAACCAACTGACCCAGACCAGAACCAACCAACTGACCCAGATCAGAACCAACCAGCTGACCAACACTGGAACAAACCGACTGACCCAGACCAGAATGAACCAACTGACCCAGACTGGAAGGACCTAACTGAACCAGACTAGAACCAACCAACGACTTAGACTGTAAAGAAACAACTGACCCAACTGGAACGAACCAATGGACCCAGAGTGGGCCAAACCAACTGATCAGACTAGAAGGAACCAAGTGACCCAGACTGGAAGGAATCACCTGATCAAAGCTGGAACAAACCAACGGACCTGATAGTAACGAATAAACTGACCCAGACTGGAACAAACCGACTGCCCGGTTTGGAACGTACCATTAGACCTGGTGTCCACTAACGTGGGCTTTACCTTGCTGCAAGCGTTGGCGCCGTACGTGTCTTCGGCTCCGAGGACCTGGATGTTGACGGAGCTGAAGTCTTCCATCCCCAGCTGCTTGAACATTCGCTTCGTCCTACAAACAACAGGAACACACAGTTAGTAAATCGGATCCGCGAAGAGAACGAAGAGCAGCTTCCTGTCGTCGTCACCGTTTGATGATGCTCTCTGCGGTCCGTCGGGCCTTTTCCGTCGCCCTCAGTCCTCCGACTGGACACACCGCCGTCGCTCTGAAACCGTCCATGTAGGTGGCGCACACCTGCAGGAGGAGGAAGAGATACCCGCTAGTATGGAGGTGGCACTTCAAAATAAAGCTCACAAACCGAACACGAACATCGTGACGGGGATCTCACCTTGTAGTCGTGTGACGGAGCGAAGCCTTTAGCTCCGGTCACTCTGACAGCGCCTCCGTCCACACCTGAAAACACACAAACACACCTTCGTGACTTCATCGATCAACAACACGATCAATAACACGATCAATAACACGATCAATAACACAATCAATAACACGATCAGTAACACGAGCCACAACATCACGTCCAGTGAATCTCAACATGAACACAAACCTTCAGTATTTAAACCTTTTTTAATGTCTGAAAAGCAAAGGGAGGATGATCTATTAGACGTTTCAGACAAATTCATTTCTCATTATAAAGGTATTTATGCATTTTATTTTGAAAAGCCTCTCTGGCAACTCAACTCTATAAATATAAATTTAAAGAAATATTTAGAAAACAAAACCACACATTTGTAATAATGATATTAGTAATAATTATATTTATCACATGATTATTAAATAAAACTTTATGTTTCTATGTTTCACTGTTATTTATTTTGTTTTTTATACTAATATTATGTGTTCGGAATTTTTTTTTTTTTAGCTCTATCTAAGATGTTTTCTTTAATATTATGGCTTAATTTATGTTTTACTTTGATTTTGTTTTTATAATTTTTTTTATTTCACTTATACTTATATTTCAATTTTATTAAATTTGATCATAATTTACTTTAAAAAAAATCTTTTTTTGCCTGTATTACTTAATTCTTTTAATCTAGTTTAATTTAATTTAATTTAATTTAATTTAATTTAAAATCATTCCATCTTCATAATTCTATTGAAAAAGCTTCAGATTACAATAACTGACTTTTAATTTTTAATTAGTTTTTCTGTTCAAGTCCAGTTTTTATTAGTTTCAACAATGAGTTTTTGTAACATTTATTATGACATTATTTTTGCTTCAATAGTTAAATTTATTTGCTTTCAAAGATTTTATTTTTCATTTTAAACTTTTGTTGGAATTTTATCTTGTTACATTATTATTATTTAATATTTTTAAAACAAAACCTTTAAGTACTGTATTTTTAAATTAATTATTGAATTTATAAATTATTAATTTATACACATATTTGAAAAAATGTTTTAGTTTTTTTGTTGCATTTGAATCTTTTAGATATTTTTAAATAATACTTTCTGTTTATTTCACATGTTTTTAAATCCGTCCGTCTCTCTGTGAACTCGTCGTCCTGAAGCGTCCGGACCGGCGCAGAAACATGACGCGGCGCTTTGTTCACCTCCGACCGAACCGAGCTGCGGCGGGCGGTCCGTCTCCGGTTCAGTGTCCTGCCGCTCGGCGTGACAAACAAACTGAGACGGGTCAGGAAGCGGCCAAACGGGCCTCCGGAGTTCAGCCGAGGCGCAATTAGACGGAAATATTTACATTTTCAGCAGCAACAGCAGCTGAGCGCTCACGAAACGGGACGTTCTGGACGACCGGGTTCACGGGTTCTGACCTTTTGTATTATATGAAGAAATTCTGGTGCAGAAAAAAAAAAAGCTTTGCGTAAATCAGAGCTTCTGAACAGCCGTTAACTCAGAAAAGCTCTGACGGACGTCTCTGGGTTAAATTCTTCTGCTTCTTGTTTGTTTTTAAGAAATCTCATCATTTCAGAGCAAATTTAGGTTTTTAATGTTGATTTGGGTTTAATTTAAGCGACAAAAGAGTTGAAAAAAATCAATAAAACTAAAAAACATAGACCAACACTGAAAAGAATCAGTAAATAAACATCACATCTTAGATTTTCCTGCATAGAAATCAACATTTTGTAGAAAAAACCACAGATTGATCAAAGATATTTGCACAGTTATCATCATTTCACAAACATGTTCTTTCTATTGATCAGACTAAACTGTTAAATGCAGGATTAAGACCGAGACAGGAGGTTTCAGGAGAAAAATCTACATCAGTGTTTTATCGTTATTTATAAATCTATTTTATTATATGTATTTATTGTTTATTTTATAGGGAATTTAGTTGTTTGTAAACATCTTTCAATAAACAATAAAAACAAAACTGGAGCCTGATGTCGTGACGTTTTATCCGAACCTCTTTGTGCTCGAAGCGTTCTTTAAGAACGTGTTTAAAGCAAAGCGTTTGCTCTGAATAGATTCTGGTAAAAACCAAATGTTCTGCGTTTCTCGGCGCCACCAGGAGGTCCGGACCGACGGACCGGCAGTCGGGTCGCAAGAGTTCAGAGCCGTCGGCTGGACTGCAGGCGCCGAGCAGAGAAGTTTGTCAAACTGCACAGAAGGCGCCTCTGAGTTCTGTCTGGTTCTAGATGTGGTTCTGGTTCCACAGAGGACTTGAGAAACGTGAGCCTCAGTGAAGAACACGACCCAGAACCTGGACTCCAGATTCTGTTTTCAGGAGAATAAAGTCAGAACCATCAGAGCTGCTTCGTGCTGAATGAGTGAACGCCGTGAGCTGCCTCCTGCCCCCGGAGCAGAACTGGGTCAGTCTGAACCCGTGCAGGACTTCCCTCCACATATTTTCCAAATGTAAACACAGCATGTATCACTGGTGCCATTATTTACTCAAGCGGGGCAGGAGGAGGGAAACCCGGAGCTCTGGCGGCGCCTCCTCCTCCAATCACACGGCTCCTGAATTAATGAGGCCGAGGAGGCCAAGCCGCTTATCAGAGGGTTCAGAACCGGGTCGCTGGAAGAGTTCTGGGGTTCATCCGCGGGTCAGAACGTACCTGCGAGCTCCTGCAGCTGCACCCGGCTGAAGTCGCAGATGACGTCGGGCAGCAGGTACCGCCGCGGGTCGCCGATCTCGTACACCAGCTGCTCGGCCACCGTGCCGAAGGACACCAGGCCGCCGGTTCTGGGCGGCTTGGACAGAACGAAGGAGCCGTCGCCGGAGCACTCGACCACCGGGAAGCCGATGTTGTCCCTGGAAAGGAGGCGGACACACAAAGTGACCGAACCAGGCAGAAAAACGACACAAACGGGACAGAAAACAATAAAAACGACAAAACAAAACACAAAGAAGACAAAAAACGAGACAGAAAATAGGAAAGAAGACACAAAGCTCCAAAAACAAAAACAAACAATGACATCAGCGAGTCACAAAATAAACAAAACGAGACACGACACGACAACAACGACCCACAAAACACCTGAAATGAACAAAACGAGTTCGAAACAACAAAAACGAGGCACAACAAACACAACAGCTGATTGTGTGTCGTGTGGTTCAGCAGGTTGTCATGATGTTTGTGGGTTTGTTGGTCTTTCAGAACCACAAAGAGGAAACTAAACATCTAGAACTTTTATAAAAACTCCAGAGTCGACTAAACAACAATAAATCTGCTGCTTTCTGCTCCACCAGGTGGCGCTGTGCTCGTTAAAGCTGAGTTAAACTCTTCTCCTTCAGAATAAAAGCGCTGAAGCCCTGTTGTAACTGTGAAGACCTTGTTGTTGTCGTGTGTGTTGTCGTGTGTGTTAAGTTGTGTTGCTGCTCGTGGGTGGGACTCGAGCACCCACCAGTCGGGGACTCGGTGCCAGTCGGTGAACACTCCCCCGGTGCTCTGAGCGCCGCACTCGATCAGGTGACCTGCAAGACTGGAAAACAAACACATTTAATTAAAGTCTGATTGAAGGAAAACGTGACGAGAAACAAAAGTTCATCTTCTGAGTTTTAGTTTGTTCTGAATTCAGCTTTTTTTTTATAAATGTTTTGATTCCTCGTTTGTAGCTTAATTAATTCATCGTTATTGTTTTGTTTCGTTAGTTTGCAGCCTTTTAATTTATTTTTGACTTAATTTATTTATTATTAATTTCTTCTTGTCACTTTTTGCAAACGTTTAATTTAAATTAAATCTATTCTTCTTGCATGTAATTGTTAAATTTAACAAGAATTTCTTCTTTTTTTTGGATTTTATTGTCTGTTTTCAAACTTTTACTTTTATTTCAATTTTTATTTATTTTAAATCTATTTTCTCAATATTTCATTTTATTGTAATTTCATTTAAATGCGATTTAATTTCATTTAATTTCAACTAAATGAGGGAAAAAAATTACTGCATTTTATTGGTTGTATACAAATTTTAAATTGAAATAAATTTTACTTCATGTTTTTTATTTTGTTCATTTTTTTCATTAAACTAAAATAAATTTGATGTCATTTAATTTAATTTTCATTTATCCTCACTGCACTCTGTTCATATTCAGCCTTTGAATTAATTTCATTCACATTTTATTCCTTCTTTTCATATTTTATTGTCTGTTTGCGACCTTTTAATAATTATTTTTGCACTTCGAGCTTCACATCATGTCTAAAAGCCACAAAACAAACGAAGCCTGATTTATTATTTCCAGTCTGAGTCTTTATTTCTGTACTTTTGTTGTAACTTCAAACGAGAACCAGCGTCGGCTCGTGTTGGTGTGTTTTACCTTCCAGCTGCCAGCAGGTCGTAGTCGCTGCTCTGCCACCCGAACTGCAACAAAACCAACACAAGTCAGCTGCTGCCGGACACACAAACATCCAGACACACCGCTGGTTCTACCCTCAGAGGACACGACGACACCACAGAGAACGACAAAACAAGACACACACTGACACAAACGAGACAGAAAACAACACAAATTAAAGAGAAAACAACAAAATGAAACACAAAACAACCAAAACAAGATATGAAAGAAATAAATCTGAACACAAAGTGATCAAAACAAGACACACAATGACACAAACGAGACAGAAAACAGCAAAACCGACACACAAAACGGCTGAAACGAGACGGAAAACAACAAGAAGGAGACACAAAAGAACACAAACGAGACACAAAATGACTGAAACAAGATAAATAATGACACAAAAGAGACACAAAACAAAACAAAAGAGATGGAAAAACAACAACAACACAACCTGGACACACAACGACAAACACCAGACGCTAAACGCGGAGCTTCAGCTGAAGTTGGGACGTTTGTCCTTTGACTCTAACGGCCGACAGCCTCAGACGCCTGCCGTCCCAGAATGCTTTGCTGCTGCCAGCAGACGTACCGCGTGCATCAGCGGGCCCAGAGCGATGGCGCTGTCCACGCAGCGACCCGTCACCACGATGTCGGCGCCGAGGTCGAGGCAGCGGCGGATGGGACCGGCCCTGGACAGACAGAGTGAGCAGAGTGTTGTTGTTGTTGTTGTTGTTGTTGTTGTTGTTGTTGTTGTTGTGGTGCAGCCTGACTCCGTACCCCAGATACGCGTTCATGCTGTGCAGGGTTTTGGGCAGCGGCTGTCTGGCGCCGCCGTCGGCCATCTTTACTTCAGGCAGGCTGCCCCTCTGACGGGGAGGAGACACGTTTGTGACATCACAGACGGCAAACAACAAACAAACAAACAAACAATGACGTGGGAGGCTTACGTGGGGCATGAGGTCATCGCCGGTCACCACGGCGACCTTCATGTCCAGGCCCGCCTTCTTGACCACTTCCTGGATGGCGGCGGCGCAGGCCAGAGGGTTGACGCCGCCGGCATTACTGACCACACGGATACCTGTCGCCATGGAAACACACTCTGGGATGGGTTGTGTCCTGTTGTTGTTGTGTGTTGTTGTGTGTTGTGTTGTGTATTGTTGTGTTGCTGTGTGTTGTTGTGCGTTGCGTTGTGTATTGTTGTTGTGTTGTTGTGTGTTGTGTTGCTGTGTGTTGTTGTGTGTTGTGTTGTGTATTGTTGTTGTGTTGTTGTGTGTTGTGTATTGTGTGTTTTTGTGTTGTTGTGTGTTGTGTTGTGTATTGTGTGTTTTTGTGTTGTTGTGTGTTGTGTTGCTGTGTGTTGTTGTGTGTTGTTGTTGTGTATTGTTGTGTATCATTGTGTTGTTGTGTATCATTGTATTGTTGTGTATTATTGTGTTGTTGTGTATTTCGTGTTGTTGTGTCGTCACCTTTCCGCTGGATGTCGTTGATAAACGGCGCGATGGCGACTTGAACAAAGTCTGGAGTGTAACCCAGAGTCTGCAGGAAAACACAGTCGTTATGGAGCAGCGCCCCCTGCAGGCAGGCACACACTGCACACACACACATTGCACACAGACACACAACAGCTGGACGCTGCAGCAGGAATCTACATGTGTTCTATAATGTGATCTGTGTAATCTGTACATTTTGAAAATAGTCTAATAAGAAAAAACATGTAAATAAACACAAACAAAACAACAACAACAACAACATATCACCTACATTATTAAAATAAACCTAAACGTTTGTAAACAGAAGACGTTTGACTGTGTGACGGTTTGTTTTCTCTGATATGAATAAATGACAATCAGAAGGCAGCAAACGCTCGAGTTTCATTTTCAAAACAAATAAATAAAAAACTGTTAAATAATCATGAACATGTCATTATAACCGTGTAACGCATGTTGACAGAAAATTGTAAATATTGATAGAAATCGTTTCAGTGACGTTTAGATCATCAGTCAATAAATAAATAAAATAAACAAATACAGAGTAAATAATTACACATACGACATAATAAATAATAATAATAATAAAACACATGCAGAAAATTAAATACTAAAACAGTTAAACAAGGAGGAAGCCGCTGACGACCTCAGTCTGACTGTATTGATCGTCTATCGGTGTCTCTGACCCGATCAGCTCTGATCTGTGACGTCATGACTTACAGGAACCTTGGACTTGGCGGCGGTCAGCAGAGACATGGTGATCTCACTGAGGTAGTCGAAGACCAGGAAGTCCAGCCGCCCACCGTGGACCAGCTGGGGCACTGAGGATACACCACACACACATCAATACACACACACACACA